TACTTTGTATTTATATTGCTTTTAAGTCTTTCTAGTTGTTTTGCTTTTTTGTGGTTGCTTCTGTGAGTGTGTCTTTAAACTCATTTGTTGCTTAACTTGTGTCTTTTCTTAGTACTTGCACGTTAGGCAGGCCTCTTCTCTTTCTGAGTTTAAAACTCTTCTTAAAACATATTAAGAGGTTAACTCAATTTGTTTTAACATGTTTTATTTTATTTTATTTATTTGGTTATTTCATCTTATTTTTCTATTTTACTTTTACTTTGCTCATGCTATTTGAACAGCACTTTGTGAACCCTGGTTTTATGTGAAAGTGCTTTATAAATAAAGCTGGTATTGAAGTTTAGCACTTTTATTTCTTTGTTTATTTATAGGTATTTTCTTCATGTCTCTAATTCCTGCTTTTTTTTCCTTTTTCTTTTACATACCTTGTCTGTTTACTAGTCTTGCTTCTTTTTGGGGTGTTTTTGTGTCTCTGTATATTTGTTTTCACTTCTTTATGTTGTCACTTTTTGTTCTTTTCTCTTTCCAAGGCTTTTTTCCCCATTTCTATGATATTTTTGTGTTCTTATTGACTCACAATGATTTCTTTTGCACTTTTTTGGTTCTTTTCTTTTATATCTTTTTGGTTTTAATATATGTTTTGTGGTTAGATGGGTCACAGTGCTCCAATGTGGAGCAGTGAGAAGCTGCTGCCTGCAGGCAGAGTTACTTTACAGCGCTGACTGCAGCTGCACCCTATTATGTAAGGAGCCACTGTGTAGCTATTATTAGCCTGCTGCTGACATGCTGTGTAAATGTTACTTATGTAGTGTGGACACAAATCTGTTTACACCATTACGCACATATATGAATCCTTATATTTCATAGTTGAGACCTCTGAAGTGTTGCAGTCGTGCTTACACGTTTAGATGTGTGTAAAAGTGTTTTTGGATTTATGCTAGAAATATTGTCTTTCAAACATCTGGAGTTTCGAACCTAATTCTAGGGTTCAGGTCTTAGCATTAAGCAATGGGCAGCAGTTCCTCTAACAGCAATCTTCCCTGAATCGCTGACTGCATTGAAATGAATGGAAAACCTTGAATTAGCCTAATGAATTAATGCTCTGCAGCATGATTGTTATTACTCATGTTAAGCCATGTATGACCCTTGTGACCCTTATTAGCACTGCAGGTATTTACTAAAATATAAAACACAAATTCCAGACTTCAGAGAAACCATCTTACACTGAATGATGGAAACGCTCTCAACTATTCATATTTTAATTTCTATGGCTGCTTTCTCAGGGCTGTAGCACTTTACAGCATAGTAACTGAAAAGTATAGGAATATAGGGCATTCTTGGAACACGCCCTGCAAACGCTGAAAAGTCTCAGTAACACAAACAAACGAAAAACCTGAAATTTAGGAATAATCCAGGCACTCCTGGGAGGTCCACAAAACTGACACACTATTCCCCCAAAACTGGAATAACTCTGAAATTTGTGCAAAATTGTGAAAAGGCAGAAAAATTGTAAAAAGTTTGAAAAGCTCTTACAATTGTCAGAATATTTATCATAAGTCCTGTATTCCCTTGATTACTCAGGAATAAATCTCAAAGGCTTTTTAAGAGGAAGCCCTGAATTGTGACAACTCGAGAAGTCACTGATAACAATTTGGAAAATCCAGACACCTTAAGCTTCGAAAACTCTTGAATAACTCTCAAAAAGTAGTGTCCGAAACGCAAACTACAGTTACTTAACAGTCAAAAGACTCTGGTATTATTTTATAGGATATAATTCAGACTGAAACCTGATGGATTCTTTACATCACTTTGAAGAATGAGATAAAAATGGTTTCAACACTTTTTGTTCCCAGCGTGTGTGGCGGTGAATGAATAGTTCGTGGTTCAGTTCTGAAATGACCCCGATGGTTTCACAGAGCCCTCGAGTAGGTCAGAGTCATGGCGGCGTGGTTCAGGATTCGGGTCATGTAGCCTTCCAGTAATTCCCGAGCAGTGCAAACTTGTTGCTGATTACACACATTGTACAAATGAAATGTGGTGCTTTAGAATCGCGTCCAATCAGACGTCTCACAGGCCTTTCTGTCGCCTGGAGGATGATGCTGAGAACTAAACTCTGTGTTTCTGTGTGTTTCAGGACTGCTTCGAAGATGCCTTTGATCGGATACCTGCGTGAGTACACACACACATGCACACACACACACACACCTGCAGTGCACAGACTGAGTGTGTGTGTGAGGATCGTTTCCTGTGTATCTTTCACTTTTAGTCACGCTCTGTGCTGACTGCTGGTTCTGCCTTTGTGTAGGGCGGGTAGCATGGATCTGCAGACTGCCATCCAGGAGACTCAGTGTGCTCTCAACCTGGTCCTCAACAACAAGTTTTCTCAAGCCCTGGATCTCCTCAAACCATGGTAACCACAGCAGTCGTTACCTCGCGCTGCTTCGTTACACCTCTCTCTTTCTCTAGTGTCTGCTGGAGTCATAGCTCCCTGTTATTAATGACTGCTGCTGTGCGCAGGTGGAGGGACAGCATGTACCACGCTCTGGGATACAGCAGCATCCTGGTGATGCAGGCGACCATGACCTTTGAGCACAGAGACATCCAGACTGCCATGGCAACCATCAAGGAGGCGTTGCACACCTGTCAGAGGTGAGAGGCAGGAAAACATGGTCTTCTTCCTGTTTATAGCCTTAATGTTTCTGGGCGAGGAAGCTTTCAATCCATTCACAACATGTAATAACGTAATGAAACAAACTGGGGTACGACCACTGTGGCTGCAAAAAGATTTCTGAGGCTGAAAAGTCTGGAAAAAGTGACTCATCCTTGAGCCCTGAATTGTCCAGAATAATAAAGAAAATCAGCAGCAGATAATTTCATTTTCTTCTCCAATTCTGGCGCTGAATCAGAGATTGTGTGTGCGCAGTGGCACTGCAGTGAGTAACTGTATGAATGGTGACCGGGCTGTGTGGCTGCATCATAATGGGCACGTTCAAGTCTGAAAAGTGAAGCCAGTGCTGAAGTGCCTTAAATACACATTCCTGTTGGCATCCTGCAGGAAGCAAAAGCTGTGGTTTCAGAATAACATGCAGTTTAAAGAACTCTGACAGAGCAGTACGCTTGCTGTGTGGCTTCTGAAAACACTTTCCCAATGAACTTATGGGCTTCAGTTATTAGTTTCAGGTCATATTAAATAAAAAATGTATCCATTTTGTAATTTTTTGTTCATTCTAAGTTTCATGAAGGAGAATTATCGAAGATCTACTCACTGGCTGTTGATTTGACAAGTTGTTATCTAGATTGTCAGGCAGCCAGTCCCGAACACCAAGAAGTTCAAGGTGAAAACGCGAATCTAATCTCCAGGCTTCACAAACTAATGGGTGATGCCACAGTGGCTATCTCCGTCTTTAAAGCCATGATATTAGACAGCGGTCCCCAACCCCCGGGCCACAGACTGGTACCGGTCCGTGAGTCATCTGGTACTGGGCCGCGAGAGTTGAGGCTCGGGTGTGAAATTTATGGCTTTTATTGGTTTTATTGGTTTTTCTCGTTGTTTTTTTAGCGTTATTATTGTTAACTCTGTTTCCCTGGGTCTTTCCCGTGTGTTATGAATAAATCTTCCTTTTTTGTACCGGTACTGGTTTTATTTTGTTGTATTTATCCGCAACACCTTAAAGGCCGGTCCGTGAAAATATTGTCGGACATAAACGGGTCTGTGGCGCGAAAAAGGTTGGAGACCGCTGATATTAGATATTCTAGAACATTATATATACCGTAGCTTTGTGTTCCAAAAATGAGGGAGAAAAAATATGATTTCAAAAAGCTATATCACAATCACAATCTATATCAAGCAATCCTGTCTCTGTAGGGTACTTTTAGTTCTTCATCTCAAAGTCTCTTTCAAATGAGAACAATTAGGCCCCATGCACAGCAACGTTTAATGTCATCTCAAACTGCAACAGTAGAGGCTGGTTAAATATGAGATTTAACGTCTCCTCGTTGTTTCTCTAGGTTCAGGAAGAAGAACTCGATGGTCGGATCTCTGTCCGGGCTGATCAGCAAGCAGTCCAACCTGCAGGAAGGTTTGTAAACACATGCCCACACATCACTCCACTGACGTCTACAGAAAGTGAAGAAAATTTAGAGAGCTGGAAGTCAGTGTGCTGCATTGGTGTGTTTGCAGGAGAGATGCACGCAGAGCTTTGCTACGCTGAATGTCTGCTGCAGAAAGCAACGCTGACGTTTGTACAGGTCAGAAATGCTGTCTGCCTTTAACTTCACCTGCGTGCCTGCTCACGTATTTGCTTTCGTTTCATATATATTTCATACGTAACCTTAGTTGAAAGCCCCTTTAAAGCGCAGTTCCCGCAGTGGCTGCTAAATGTTCCTC